AAAGAAAAAGTATAAAAAACCAAGAAGAAGAAGAAGATGAAGAATAAGAGAGAGACAAAAAGTACGACGAGTCGTGGTATGGTACAACAGATATCAACGAGAGTCGAATATAACGAGAGAGAGTTACAATATACCATGGATACGTATATAAACAATGTACAAGTATTAAATCGACTGGAGAAAAACAGTATAAATATAGATATTATATATATATAAATATGTAGTGTTAAGCGTAATAATCGAGTTATGCACGCGTCCAGTGCATATATGCGTGCGTATACACACACACGCGCACGCGCACACACACACGCACACACACCAAGGATATACATATATACTCAGGTGATATATATCCGTCCCTCGCAATTAGCGAGCGAGTCGCGTCTCTCGCGCGCTCTCCCGGCGGTATATATATATACACGCATATACACGTCCGTATACACAAATAACGTGTCAAAGAAAATATATATATATGTGGATAAGGTTGTATACATATATATATATTTCGGGGGGTTAATCGAGTATCCGATGTATAAATGCGTTACGAACAAAGAAGCGAGTTATGTACACGTGGGTTAGTAAAAAAAAAAAAAAATCAATCAGCGGCTCGCGCGACGTCGTACGGGCAAAGGAAGAGAACACTCGTCGCGACGCTCTGAACCGCGACGTCCCTCCTTTTGCCAGATATTCCGGCGCCTTTCCTCTCCGCAAATCCACCCCCTTTCCGGCTTCCCCGCGCATACGACGCGCGCGCGCAACCGCGCCAGAGTTATATATGGTGGTCAAAAAATTACACTACCGAAGGAAGCGTGGCATGCAAGACGAGAAATTACGCAAAAAATAAAAACACAACGCAATGATATATCTCGATGGAGAGGTATTAATAATAATATATATATATATGTAAATATAAATGGCGTAGAGAAGATATATATATATATATATATATATACGTATATCGTTCACACACGGGGAGAGATGGGGCGAGATTACCCGCGCGTTCACGCGTTTCCATTTCCCCTTCCGGTCCCCTCCCGCCGCCCGAGAGGGGTGAGTGTCCCGCCCCTCGACGTCGCGCGCGTCCTCTCGTCGACGTACAGGAGTGAGAGATAGAGAGAGAAAGAGATGAAACGCTGCCGAGAAGAGATACCAGAACGAGAAAGTGAGAAAGAAAGAGAGAGAGACAGACTCGAAACCTCACGCGGGTTACGAAACAGAGAGAAGAGAGAAAGAGAGAGAGAGAGATCCTCCTTCGTGCATGGAAACGAGGAACCACCCCGGGGATCCGTCCCGAGAAGGCGCACCCGCCGCCGTCGGCGGTCGCGCGGCGAATGACGCGCGACCGGCCGCTGCCTCCGCGTACGTCGACGAGCCCAATCGCGCCCCCGACCCTCCCGAAGCGCGCGCATGCGCGTGAACGCGCCGCGCCCTCGTCCCTTCTCTTTTCCTTTCCGTTCCATATCCCGCGATCCTCTATGCCGCGGAACTCCATCTCTTTTTTTTCCTTCCCATCTCGACGCGTCTCCTTTTATATATATATCATATCATTTTTTTTTTTCTTGTTTCAGTTCTCCTCTCTCTTTCGTGTCCTCCGACACGCGCGCGCCTCGTCCGAGGGACGTGGACGCGCCCTCGCATTTCCTTCCTTGACTTCTCTCTACTACGTGATACGCTACCAAGAAAAAAAGGGGAGAAAAAAAAGGAAAAAAAATATACCAGAAGAAGAGAGAACACGAACACGACTACGAGGGGTGGTTGTTTCGTGGGATCTGGGGTGAGGGGCCGCGGCGGGGAGACCGGGCGAGGAAGGGGGGCCCGGGGGTCGCCGTCGCGGCGCCCCCCGAGCGCCGCCCCCTCGGCCGCCCTCGCGCCGGGCCCCGCGGAGGGCGTTTTTTCACAACGGACATACAACTTGTAAAGAGAGAGATCTCGTTCTACCGGCTGCCGATAACGTGGCGCAACCACGGCCCTAGAGATCGCGACCGCGTCGTCCGTCCTCCTCCGCGCGCGTTTCGTTTTTCCTTCCGCAGACAGCGCGCGGCGACGCCACCGAGCGCGAAACGCTCGTCGAACCGCGCATCTCTCGACGAGAAATCAACGAAAGAGACCAGAAAAAAAAAAGATATTAAACAAACAAGACAAGGGGCACATCATCCCGGCGGTGCCGGACCGACGAACCGTTGAGAGGCCGTCGCGAAGAGCGTTTCGCGTCGGAAGCCGCGAGATACGTATCCTCGCGTTTCAATCATCGAACCCCGTATCATACACATATCTAGATTCAAGGTAACAAGTCTCTGACGGATAAAAAATGCAACGACCGTCGCCATCAATGCGAGCGCCTGCACTTAAAACGCGACCGCGAGATGACCCGGACCGCGCGTTACCAAGGAGTCTCTCCTGCACGCCGTCCCAGGGATTTGGCCCCGTTGCCAAACATCCAACGGCGCGCAGGAAGTCGGTCGAGTCTCGGATCGACTCTCTGCCGAGCAAGCGGCAACGCCGCCGGCGCGCGACGTGGCGGCCTTTTTTCCACGGCATGGTATCATCTTTCTCCTCTACTCAGGAGGAGGAGGGGGAGGGGGACCCGCATCCCCGCGCTCGCGTTTCTGTCTCCTTGGTAACAGAGACTCGGACCCGCGCGCGTGCGCGAGGGGGAGAGACAGAGAGTGAGGTCGGCGCTCGACTCTCTCCCTCCGGCGTTGCCACTTCGCGCGTGTCTCTCCTTTCCTTCCCTGCGACGTCGTCCCCGTCCGAGCGATGGCAGTGGCGCGCTGGCATTGACGGAGAGGTCGGTCCTCTCTCTCCGAATTTACCTTGGCTCCCGCGTTGGATCGCCGCCTGCGGCGACCGTGCCTGACCGTGCGCGACCGTTAAGGGCGCGCATCCGCCCGAGCGCCCGCATCTGCCGGCGCAGCTGCGCATCCGGGCCAGCTGCGCGCGCATCCCGAGGGTCCCGCTCGCGAGCCTTCGAGAGGCATCTAGAAACGCGAAGATGGCGCCCGACGCCCGCGAGACCACCGGTCCTCCTTTCCTCGTCTAGACTCCGTCGTATATATCCCGTCTTCCTCGCTCTCCTAAGCCGCGATTCGAGCCCAAGGCCGGCGAGTTTTCGTGGGAACGGATTCGACCACCGCGGTGTCTCGGCATATAGCCGCGCGCGCACATCCGGCCGCCTAGCTACAGTTTCTGCGCAGAAGCGTCTCCCGCCGCGCATGCGTGCCGCCTTCTCGGCCTGAATAACCCCACACGTGCCCCCCGTTCCCTCGACTCCGTTTTTCCGCGCGGCTTCTCTTCTCTCTCCGCAAATTACTTTCCTAGCCCGCGAGCGTTCTCCGCCGCCGGCCTCCGTCCGCGGTGTCGCGTTTCGGACGCGCTTCCGGCCGCACTCGACCCTCGCCGGCTTTTTCTCTCCCCCCGGCGAGACGGGAAACCGGGAGGAAAAAAAAACAAAAAGCGCAAAACCGCGCAAGAATCCGGTTCTCGTTACTGCGGGAGAGGCGGAGAGCTCTCTCTCCTTTGCCAATGGCATATATCTCGGATTACGATCGGTCTCTCGCGTTTCTTCCGCGCGGTTCCACCTACCCGAGGAGGCCGCGAGTGCCTCCCCACCTCGTCTGCCGAGGGGTACGATCGATCCCGGGGATGTCGATATCCGCCGATATCCGTCTATAACCCGTTCGCCCCTACCTCGAAGAGGCCTCTTCTCATCCATCCCGAGCGTTCCACCCGATCGGGAACTCATCCGTGCACTCCACGATCGAGCGGGAATCGAACCCGAGACTCGGTGCACGGGCTTCGACCAGACCTTAAAAATACGGTCGAAAGTGGCCTACGGGATTTCCGTCGGAAATCTTCATCGATTGAACGCATCGATGACCAGAGAGGGTGGTCTACCCCGCGCTCTAGGTCGGGGGTTCTGGAGATATCAGGGAGCGTTCTCGCGTTCCTATCGGTCGACGATCGCAGGCTGGCCTCCCATAATTGTGTGGTGTGCATATCCTTTCGGAGGAGAGAGAGAGAGAGGCAGGGTGGGGGAGAAGTCGCGCCGCGAGGCCGCGGCAGACGGACAAAGGGCGATCCGAGACAAAGGGATCCTAAGGAAAGCGAGAGGCGAGATCCGAGAGCTCGAGAAGCGACCGGGAGGGCGAGCTCTCTTCCGGCCCGTCGGTTTCGACTCCGCGTCGCGACCTCTCCCTATCAGAGAGACAGACAGAAATAAAGAAAGAAACATAGGGTGGTGTCGGGGGAGACAGCGAGAGGGGGGATGATAAACGAAAACTGAAAAGTCCAGGAGAGAGACGAGAAACGAAGAAGCTCTCTACGTGCCCTGACCAAGATAGGGGGGGAAGCTCGTCCAGAGACCGTGCTACTCTTGAACGTGACCAGGTTTCGTTTCGGTTGAACCACGTTATCCGGCAGCGAAAATAAAAAGCCTTGTCCCGCCTGCGCAATGGGCACTTCTTCCAGCGGGTCGCTACTATCGAGCGCCACGCCCTTTCAATTTTTCTTTCACTGAGCCGGCGTTTATTTTAAATGAGCCCTTCCGGTGGAATCGAAGGAAAAAAAGAACCCGAGCTCGACGATTCGTCCATGTCACGGATTCCGGACGCACATCCTTGCAAACCGAGAATCGCTGCCAAATCGGTCCGGCGACCCGATGCGTATATATCGATACTATCAACGATAAGATTACAATCAGAGATTCAACGCGCGGCTCATTCAAATAAACGCTTAAGGGTCGCACCGTCGACGGTGCTCGCGCGACGCGGCAGTTGATATCCTTCCGAAAATCGATAAAATTCGGTCTTCCCTTTCCCGGGGCTCGACTTTGTCGTCGTATAACCGGTGCCCGCGAGGTTCCTCTTTTTTTTTCTTTTATCTCCGAGCCTCCGGTTGCTACGTTCGAACCGACTCGACGAGTGGAGGAGCGTTTGCCGATTAACGAGTGCCTATTGTTACGGGGGTCAGAGGCGAATGGAAAATGGCGAGGATGAGCCTACCTTGTGAGTCGCGGTGGGCCTGAGCGGCCTCCTGGGCTGCGAGAAAGACTTCGTCCGTCGTTCCAGGGGCGCCTGCCACCGAGCCCACGACTCCTCCCGCGTTACTTCGATCGCCCGTTACGTGCCACGCGGCAAGACCTGTTCGATCAGACAAAAATTCGAGGATTTACATCAGTCGGTTACCAAGGACTAGGGATAGGGGATCGACGCCAAAGGGTTACGTCGGTATCGCCGCTTAGAACATTGGGAAGGCACGCGTCGACGATCCTTCCCGGTCGTTTCGTCTCTTTTCTTTTCCGCGAGTCAATCCCTTGCGTCGATACGATGAACAAGAACAAAAGGCTTGTACGTGGAGGGATCCACCGCAAGGAATTAACGTCCGCGGATTACCCCTAAATTTAATTGACTTCTTAAGGGGGGTGAAAGTAGCATCCGAGGGGTCAACCGTACACAAAACGTTTCGCCAAACCGAGAGTACCGAATCGTTTTAAACTTCACTACGTGAATATAGAGACTATAAGGAAGACCCTGACGCTCGTGAAATCTCATTTTTGATAACAAATTTGGAAAATATCCATCAACATATTTTGAAAAAAATTAAGTTTCATGAGTTTCAGGACCTTCCTTATATCCTCCAATATTTATATATCGTGAGGTTCGAATCGATTCGGTACACCCAGTTCGGAGGATAGTTTCATAAACGAGACCTCTTCGACATCATTTTTCACATCACCTTAACCCTTTCGTTACCTTGAACGAGATATCTCGCGACCCAATACTGGCCGATTAATGCTTAACGATAATCTAGCTTTCTAGCACCAATATTTTGACATTCTAGATAAATATATTTTATAACTAATTCTATTCGTATAGCTAAAAGGAAGAAATAAATACAGTTTTTATTAATTTAATGAAATTATTTGTATTCACTTTCTACGTGGTATAATTGAAAACATGGTGTTACGCATAAAGCGACATTACACTTCTGACAAAAATATCGCGTTTCCTTACGTTTTCCGTTTTCTTTACATACGGTGCAACGTTTCGTTGGGTATTTTTTCTTGTGCGTCTCCCGTATCGTTACAGGGAAGCATCGAGACTTCAATCGAAGTGGATGTTTTTTACTGCCCGTTCTTCCTCGATTACTATGTGACGTGCAATGTTCTTCTAACAAAATGTCTTCTTTCATTTGCAAGTAACTTCCATCATCAGGCAATCTTCCATTGTCTTTCATTTCGCAGCTCATCCAGCCTTTTAGATAACGGAAGTTCATCATCAGACAGTGTATTATATGTGCCCATAATTATGAAAGTGGTCTAAGTCAAAATTGAAAAAAAAAAATGAGTTTATCAGTTATTTCACGCCACATTATTTCAAACTAAATTAATTCAATGTAATTTCGAAACAAAAAATATATGACTTAGACCACTTTCATAATTATGGGCACATATATGCTATTGACGTGTTTCTCGTTGATCGTCACTGTTTTCACTATCACTTATTATTCTATTTCCTACTCTTCAACTGAACATCTTGTAACGCTTCAAAGTAATGAATCAAGACTAAACTCCTATACGATGAATGCTGTACTACAACTTCAATGTTTATCGACATAATGCTGAAGACATACCATAAGCGACATAAAAACTCAAAGACAGAACACAAAATTATTTGTCTAGAATGTCAAAATATTGGTGCTAGAAAGCTAGATTATCGTCAAAAGCGTTAATCGGCCAGTATCGGGTCGCGAGATATCTCGTCCAAGGTAACGAAAGGGTTAATTCGGGCTCGATTACAGATCTTTCCCGGCTCGTTAATCCGCAAATACCGCCCTCCTCGATAACGCGGTTATCCCCCTCTTGTACAGGGTACATATAACGCGGGAATGACGTCATAGAGATACGTAGAGACCAATCGTTATCGAGAACGACGAGCGGCAGAAATAATCTGGAATCGATGCGTCAATATCGACCCGGAAGGAATGCCGGATGCAAAAAATGGAAAGGATCGATTTCTCGATTCCTCCGTGCGGCGTTTAGACGGCGATGAGAAGTAGTCGAACGTGGACGTGAAAGTTGTGAAAGGACGCCTCCTTGATCGATCGTCCAACGCGAATGACGCGGCAGAGGGGGAACGGTTTACCATCTTTCCGACATCCGACTGCTAACCACATCCGATGATTTCTAAAGCGGTATTCTAGGAATCGTGACGGTACAGCGGGTACACCCGTGGGCACGAATGCTTCCCCTACGTGCATCGGCGACCCAACGTGTGCAGGAAAGGCATTCATGTCCGCTACTATACAACACTCGATACGAGAAAACCTCGTCAGACATCCGGTTTTCTCGGATCGCATATAAGTGTTTTTCCCTCGACAAAACTGGCGGAATGACTAGAACGGATAAAATTAGAACGTTTCGAGATAGAACCGTTCCACCGCACTGATCAAAGCTCAGAGGTATATTTAATGCAAGTATACGGTTCGCTTAGTTTTCCGCCGTTCAGGGCACGAGGGGCTTTGTACTCGAAAACTGCCTAGTCGAGGAGTCGACTCGGATTACCCGGAGAGGACAACTCGTACCTTCCTTCGCCGCGAATCGCAAGCGATGCATAAATTCGAGCGTACTAAGCGTCGGCGAAGGAAGCGTCGGTCTCGAATAAAGTTTCTTAAAATTCGACACCCGGTAAAAAAGAAAGGTAGAGAGAAAAAAAACAATCGGTTAAAACCTCGGGCCCCGAACAGGCAGGGTATACGCATGGCTCGATTCGAGAATTCCGCAGAGTCCTAGGAGTGCAATCGAAACACACGTTTATTACGCAAGGGACTGGCGGCATATGCGCGTAGTCCGATACACAACGAGAGTAATACTTGACGGATATAACACGATATCTATACACGGACGCATTGGTCGGGACGCACGCGACGCGCGTCTTACACAGCCTAGCTTACACGATTAGAAGTAGAGAGAGGGAGAGAGAAATAGAGTCGGACAGACGTTTTCGCTTCCTTGCGCGCACCGGGACTAGAAAGAGGGGGTTTTTCGATACACCGATTTGGAGTCTCCAGCTTGGGTTTCGCTCGTGGACGTTTTCCCACGAGAAGTTTCCGATATCCAGAGAGATCTTCTTAAGCCACGAAGAAGGATCGTCTCGAACGAGAGGTTGCGTAAACGGCGAGCCGCGCGAGAACGTTTTCTCCTCCGTTGGGGTGTCACCCACCCTCCGTGGACGACGCGCGGTTTTTCCCTCCGGGTCTTTCTTCGTCTCTTATTATTATTTTTTTATATCTTTTCGTATTCACGCCCGTCGCGGCCCTCGGCCTCCAGGGTCGGCGGCCTCTAGGGCTGTCTGGGCTGGACGAAGGTGCTGGGCTGCCTCCAGCGCCTCCTGACGACGTTCAACTTTTTCAGATAGAACTGCAGGGTCGAGCGATTAATCCCGTACATCTCGGACGCCTGAGTGGTGCTAACGCCCTGTTGCAAGATCGCCTCCAGGGACATTTTAACGGAGTCTAAGCTATACTTTCGGCCCTGCTTGTTCGCCAGGGATTTAAGCAAAGCGCCTACGTCAACGTCGGGTCGAGGCCGCCGTGTGTTCGGGCCTTTTTTACATTCGAGGAAATGCGACGCCCAGAGGGCTCCACCGGCACCCGAATTCCCGCTCGACCGAGACCGCGCTCCCGCCCCCCCACCTGCAACCGAGGAAACCCAAGCTAGTCGAGGACAAACGGTACACGTCCCGAACGATAAGGAAAGAAAGAAAGACTTAAGCACTCGCGCTACATCAACCAAACCTCCGACTTAGTCTAGAAACGCCTCGCGATCCGACCCGAATCTCTATTTCATTTCTTTACCCTACTTCTCGCGACTTTTCACCCGCCAATTTCCCGAACTGCGATTGCGATTTCTCACCCCGCTCCTGATCGTACATCGAACACACTTGTCAGAACTCCCGATTTCGTTAAAAGGCTTTACAAAAATTCCAATGCGCCTGCGCGTTTCCGGTGCAAAGTCGATGCCATGGAGCAAGCTCGTCCAAGAAATTTTGTCGGATCGATTCCTTATCAACGGGGACTACCCTGATGAGCCGATGCCATCGAGTTACCGAATTCTAGTCTGGAATCGAACGCGAGTTCGCTGAAATTTATTCCAGAGTGCACGGACAAGGAAAAATCAAACTACTTGAACTCGTCACCCACCGTGGCATTAACCGTTGCGCCGACGCAAAATTGTGCTACCCTACCTTCTTATGGATTAAAATTCGCGACCGCACGTGTGTCTCTATGCAAAGCAACGAGAACTCCTCGATAGACTCTACGAATCGAAGCCCTGCCCGTTTCCGCCATTCACACCAACAAATGTACACAACCATGTAATAGAAGGGACGTAAAAAAAAAAATGACTTACCAGGATGTTGGGAGGGATCGTGGGAAGGACCGGCTCTATTATTATCTTGCTCCATTTCATTGAGGTCGTTCATATCGTCATCGAGCGTCAGGTCTTCGACGCTCTCCTCTGGATCATCCATAAATTCAGACTTTGGCTCGATCAGGCTATCGTTCGGCTCCGGTTTTTCGAGGGGCAACTACAAAATATCAATTAAGAATTAGTGAATCTCTCTCCCCATAATCTCACACCTCTATCGTCTAATGGGTAAAAAAGAAGAAAAAAAACAATGTACCGCACCGTTTCCCGTCTACAGGGTAGGAAACAAAGCACCGAGTAGAAGGATAGAATGCGAAAAATGCTCTGCCAACGAAGCGAGAAAGTCGAGCGAAAGATCAAGCTCGACTTAATTAGACGTTGGCTGAATTGGATATTAGTAGGGGAAGAGTGGAGCGAACGGAAGGAGATAAAGTTGGACAGGGGAGGGTATATTTTTTAATCGATCGAGGCGCGCCGGCCCTCGGACTCACCTGGAGCATTTCGTCGGCAGGTTTCGTTAGATGCGTCACGATGGTCGACCTGCCGAGAGACTCCGCGGGGTCAGCAAGAGCCTTCTCATCCGTGACAGGCGCGATTCCAAGCGCAGGAACGCCCATTTGTTGGGGCATGTCGCTCGAATTGGACGCATCGTGATTCTCTACCGAGGTGTCCTCGCCGACGCTTCGTCTCCTAAACTTTTTTCTTTTCCTCGAGGAGGTTGGACTTTGCGACCCTTCCCTGTAAGGACGAATCGACGATTGAAGGGGTCGTTCCTATCCCGATATCCTCGGCGTCCCAAAGTACCGGGTCTCTTCCCTTACCTGGAGGATAATCCTTTCGGAAGCTGCGGACTGGCGGAGTCTTCTGGTAGGTCGCCTACACAGCTTTGCGCCAAACTCTGCCTAGGAACTTTGATGTTCTTTTCTATGGTGAGACCGGAAGACGCGTGTGGAATGTCTAACGACGGTGCCGTTGGTTGCGAAACGACCTTCTGTTGCCTCGAGTCTGTTTTGCTCCCGCCACTGCTACCCGTTTTACTTTCCGAGAGGCCCTTAATTTGTAAAGACTCGGCGGCTTTGAGAAGTGCGGCCAGCTGGTCTTGGGAGATATTAACTTCTCCCCTGTACATGTAGTCCATCATGGCCTTCAACTCTTTAAACTTAACATCCTTTAGTATAAAGACAGGGTGCTTGTCGTAGTGTTCGCTGAGGAGGCCCTGTAACCAAGTCCCAAAAAAAACATCGGTCAAACTTCAAAAATCCAGGCGAAAGTACAAATCAACGGGACGGGAAAATCTCAAAGTCCCGAGAAGGCCCGTTCCAAGTCCAAGGGTCTACAATTTTGAAAACGACTCGATGTCTCGTCTCGACCCAATTCCTCCCACGATCACCGATTGCATTAAAAAATGTCAATTAAAAACCCAATCAAGAAGCATGCTTTGTCCTCCCTTTGAAATCTGGGCCAAATAATGGCATCCACCTTGACGTTGCACGATATTGCCGGAGACGGTTAATAGTCCATAGCAAAAAGATAAATAATCAGAAGAATAAAGGTCAAGTGGGGGACCACCCGGGTAAGGAATCTTCGTTCAACGATTATTTAATAAAGACGGATGACCGATTCACCGGTTCAATGTTTGACAACCCGCCGCGCGTACGAAGAAAAAAGTCGATTTCAAAAGTGAACGAGCGCCATGTCCTCGTAAAAGCATCAAAAAGAATCGTGAAAATGGCGTAAACGAAAGCCAAAGGCCGAAGGCTCGAGAGAGGTTGGCAGGCCGCCCGACGGGGTCCCTCCTCCGTTTCAGGGTAAAATCCCAGGGCGAGTGCCCTGGAAATCGGCCATCTTGCTTTCCCTGTATTGATCAGGGAGCCAGGAGGGGATTCAGGCATCTCCCCTCTCCCCGCGGGCTCGCAGGCGGCGTTCAACAGGGCGGCCATCTTGTTTCAACATCAGCCTCTCCTCTCCTCTCCTGCTCTATTTGGTATTGATCTAACACGAGCGAGCGAGCGAGCGAGCGGGACAAAGAAGGGGGAGAGACGGAGAGAAAGAGAAAAAAAAATCCTCCTTTCCCGGCGGCTCCTCTCGTCGCCGCGAAATTTCAGCCGGCCGGCCTTCCTCTCTGGTTTTGCCTAACCGACTCTAGATCTCACGACTCTCTCTCTCTCCCTCTCGTAACATCTGTCGATTACGGGAGGCAAAAAAAGACCACACGGAGGCGTCAGCCGACCTACTTAAGCGTCCGTCTCGAGATTTATACGCGAACGACCGCTAGCCGCCGTCAGCTTTTCCATAAGAGACTCTTCGACGTGGAATATAAACGAGCCAAGAGGTAAGGAACAAACGTGGGAATAGATAAATAAATAATGCTCACCTCAAAGTACGGACTGCACGCAGAGAGGACTACTTTGTGGGCCTTTAGATACTTCCCCTCCGCCGCCAGGGTGCAGTCCACTAGCGTGCCACTTTCGAGTAATGTGTCAAAGTTTTGGATGAGCGTGCTCTGGTGATTGTTCCACCTTAGGCAGAACTGCTGGTCGTCTTCCATCTTCGGCTTGGTTAGCTCGCTCCTGCTCGGTTGCCAGGGGGAAAAGAGAAACAATCGCCGGTTAGGTCGGATACCGTGTGCTACCTCGTTGACGCGCTCATCGAGGAGGTAGTCGGGCCGGGCACGAGTTCGACGCGATTTCCGACGCTATTTCGAGTAGAGTCGAGTCGGGGACGGCGGAGGAGAAAGCTCCCGGACCGGAGACGCGAAGCTTACAAAATGGCTGTGCCGCGGTGCAAGCGCGTCGCGGGATGGTCTGGCCTTTTCCTTTGTGCGTGTCCTCCTAACGGTAGTGCCGGTGGTGGGGATGATGCGGGAGGACGCGCAAGCACCGCGCATGCGCGCGCCCACCGTGGGCTGCCGAGCTGCGCGAAAGGCTGCGTGGACGGGAGGCGAATGCGCGCGCGCGCGCCGTCCTGGGACCGGGGCGGTCGGCGGCCCGGGAGAGCGAGAGAGAGACCGAGCGGAAAAATCCGTACCACTCGCGCGTCCGTTAACGATAATCGACGAGGTATATCCTATTATACCCGATATTCCCGGGAACCGGCACGGTAGACCCGACCGCGGAGCCTCGGGAAAAGCCGCCCGAGAATCGACGGGAGTTATTGATCGGCCTGCGCGAGCCGCGTGCGCGCTCAACGTTGCGCATCCAAGATGGCGGAGGATGCGGACCCGTGGCATCGAAGATGTCGGCGACCTCCGCACATCGCCGGGGAGAAGGTTAATACTCGAGATGCGAATCGATTCGTGAACCAGACCGGGCGACGGTCGAGATTGCGTCTCTCGCGCGACTCTACCGGCGAGATATATCGACGCGCGGGTGCGAGCGTACCGATCGATACAGGCGGGCCTGGATAGAGGTTCGGAAAAGCGACAAGGGACGCGCGCGGCGCTAGTACCGCGAAACCCGCCGGCGCGCTTGCATAATCCGCGGGGTTATCGCGAGCGGGGGTTACGTCACGCAATGCCGGGGCAACGCGGCGCGGAGAAACCGCGGATCGTTGACAGATATTCCCCGGAGCATCCCGCGTCGCGACCCTCCCGCCCCTTGAGCGACGCCCGACGCGGCCGCATCGGTTGAACGAGGCGAACGCGCGCGGAACAAAATGGCGGCGGTTGGGTCGCGCCCGAGACAAGATGGCGGACGCTTGGCAGAAAACCCGACGAAAAGCGCCGGCGGCGGCGGCGACAGTGGCGACGGCTACCTCGGCCCTCCCCGCAAAGCGTCATCTGGACTAGAGCGTGAGGGATCGCAAACGAGCCACTTTCCCGGGGAGTAGCCTCGCGCCCGGAGTCGATAAAGCCGACCCGGTCGACGAGACCCGCCCGATGGCGTTACACGGGAGGGCGGGCGGGCGGGCGGGCGGGCGCGCGCGCGCGCGCACGCGACGCCATCTTCCCTGAGCCAACTTTTCCAGGATTTTCTCGAGTCGGCGGAACAAGGTCGCGGCCCGTCAAACGAGTCGCGATAACGGGTATCGTCATATAAAAGGTCACTCACCTAAGGTGCGGTATAAAAGGAATCTAATATCACAGTAATGCGGTCGGGTGCGGGATGGAAAACTGCGAGCGTCCGTGCTCGGCGTGCGCCTCGAGCGCTGCCCCCATCGACAATGGCGCGTCGCTGCGCGATGGCCGCCTCGAGCGCCGCCGCCCTCCGCCCGCTCCCCGCCGGCAACCGCCCGAACACGGCCGAGCGCGTCCGAGCGCGGCGCGCAGGTCTCGCCGCGAGTCGCCAAAAAGAAAGAAAATGCGGCGGCCTACGCCGGGCTCCGATCCGCCGCGAGACGGAAGGGGCGTCCAATCCTCTTTTTTTACCCTTTTCGTCTTCCTGCGGATGTCGCGAGACGCTCGTACAAGGACGGTAATTACGAACGAGACTACCCGAACCGTCGCGATGCAACGAAAACCCATTACGGGATTAAACGTCGCGTTTCGCCTCGTTTTCCGCCGAGCCGGGGAACAGCGGAGCGTCTTTCGTCCCGTTACGGCCGGCAATTGATATTTAATCGACCTAGATCGTAATCCAACTACCATCGACCGGTCGACTCGGCTCGCACGTTACTCGACTGCCACATAAAGTCGAGAACGAATACGAGGGTCTAAGGAGGTCGACGCTGCGGGAAAATCCGAGGGAAAACCAGAGGGCGACCGCCGCTGGTTCCGGGGGCCCCGAGCTCCGTTCCATCGGAATGTACATCCGCGATGACTTAATCGATATCGGCGCCGGGAAAGGGGGAGGGGGGGTGACGCGGGGAAAACGGTATTTCGTGGTACGCGCACGCATCTCGCCAGCCCAGATCGATCGACTCTGCCTCCGCGCCCAGTCGCGGCCGCTGTCGCACATGCTCGCCCGAATCCGGCGTCCCGGTAATACGAGGCGTTATATCTCGGGATGCCGGAATTAATATCCGCGATAGGAACGCCGGGAAAACCGGACGCCGCGGACCCGGCCACCTTTTCTCGTCTCTAGGCGTGCCCGAGGATAAGTCGTAGGCGGTCGAAAATCGAACGTCGAGTCGCGAATCGCGATCGGCCGGTCTCGCGGCCTTCGGTCGGTCGGCGCGTAATGGCCGACCTCGCGGAGACTCGGCGAGACAAAATGGCGAAAATCTCCCCCAAGTCGGGGGGAAAATGACGCGCGCGGTCCGCGGGCCGCCACCCATCGTGGCGATTTCCGTGATTGGGCGCGAACGAACCTCGAGTTTTTATATCGATCTCGGCCGAGGGACCCCGCTAATCGGGGGAGACGCTTACGAGCGCCGCCATCATACGTCGCGGCGCGGCGTGGCGAGTCGCGGTTTTCCGGAAAGTTCTTCGCGCCAGACCTCCGCCCGCCGGTCCGCGCTTCTCTACTCGCAACGGAACGGTGATCTACGTACCTTGGCACAGTCTAATATCACAAGTAAGTCTTAAAAGAAGAACTACGCGTCCGGCTGGACGGTCCTCAGCGTGCACTATCCGGGCTCTTTTTACACAATGGCCGTTCTGCTACGCGTTAACGATCGGTCGAGCTCTGCGAGCAGTCAACCGGGACGCACGGAACGCCTCCCCACTCCTGGGCCGACGCGGCGCAGAGGACGAGAACGCGTCCCGCGCGCAGCTGGCTCCCATTGGTGGGGAGGCCGAGAGGACGAGAGCGGCAGGGGCGGCACTGGATACTTCGAATCACGGGGGCCTCCGGACCGCTCCGGCTTTTCCCTTTCTTTCCTACCCCGCGTAAAGATGTTCTCCCTGAAACGTCTCACCCCTCTGGAACTTCATTCCCCGAGATTCCTCCTCGCGAGTGCCCCCGTTTCTCCCCTTTTTCGAAACTGGAAAAACCGGGAAAAAAGCGAGCCACGACTGGGAATTTATTCCCCGTAAAAATCTTAGGATTTCCCGAAAATACCGACTCCCTAAATTCTCAGCCGCTGTCCTTCGTTTTCGGGAGGGCTCTTGGTGCGAACGGACGCGGAATTCGGGGGAAGGCCGGGTTCTTTTGGATCGCGGCCGGCCCTGGCGTCGCCGACTCTCCGGAGAATCTCGCGCGAGGGCGCGTCGGTGGCGATGGCGTTGCGGCGGCGGCGGCGGCGGCGGCGGTGGTGGGGCTAACCCCAGGATTCCGTGCAGGGCGCCGTTCACCGCGTAGCGCAGCCGGCGGGAGAGGCGAAAGGCGCGCGGGAGAAGTGGAAAACCGGGAAGAGAGAGCCGAGAGCGAAGAATCGGGGTCCACAACAAAATCGCTTAATCGCTTTGCGCCACCGTCCGCAACGCGACGTAACGCAGGGACGCGCCACAGCGGGCCACGCCACGGTCGCCCTCGTGTCTCGTCGGAAAGCCCTCGGTGCCGCGGGACGTTTTGACGACCGAACGGGTGAGTGACAGCTGCCAAGCGGCCGCGGTACGCGCGATTTATGTAACGACTGGCAGTTGACAGTGCGTCAGACCAGCGCGCGCGCGCGCGCGCGACCAGAGCGCGACCGGTGCGCGACCGGAGCGCGACGACGCGACAGCGAGGGAGCCCCACGTCGCGCGGCGAGCTCGGCACCGCCGGTCTTCCCGCCTGGTGGCACGATTTCTGGGTCAGGTCATGGTAAGGTACGAGAAACCGGTGCGGCGAGACGTCAACCGAAGGAGGGCGGCCGGCACGCGACGCGTTTGTTTTGACTCGCGGCGCGTAGGCGAGCCGAGCCGAATATCCCGGGCGATCACGTGGTGCACCCGAGCCGGACCCGAGCCGGACCCGAGTCGGACCCGAGTCGGACCCGAGCCGGACCCGAGCCGGACCCGAGCCGGACCCGAGCCGGACCCGAGTCGGACTCGAGCCGTCGTAAAGCCCGCGCTAACGGCACCTGTGCCCCGCGGAACCGGGCCACGACCCTGAACTTTCGGTCCACGCGATCGCGAGACGAATCCCGGGATTCCGGGACACCGTCCAGAGTCCGTCGCGATCGTTTTCTACGATCTCGTTCCAACGGTCTGCCTACGCGCCCTGCGCACGCGGCGATAAAGAGAAATGCTGCCTAGAAAGCAGGTCTCGCCCGAATCTAGGCCACCGCGGTGCCGCTCGTCCGCCTTCTCCGCGATTTTACTGTTCCTTCTGCCCGACCTTGTTGCGTCCGTTCTCCCGGCGAGCCGCTTTCCTCCGCTCTTTCTCCCCCCGTCCGGCTCCTCCGAGCGATTTCTATGCGATTTCTCCGCGGTTTCCGCCGGGAGCGAATCGACGTCGAACGAGGCTCCGAAAAGTGGATGGCTCCTGCCTCGCGAGGCACGATCGCGGGAGGAAGACGGAAGACGGCCGGGTCGAGGGGAAAGGCGAGGGAGGAAGAGAGAGAGAGACGGAGAGAGCGGCGCTGGGAAGCGCGGAGCGTAATGCGGAGAAAACGTTGGTAAAAGGAAAGAGGCTTCCGCGCCTGCCTTTCCAATCGAATCGGATGCCCCTCTCGCCTTTGTCATTTTCTCTTTGTCCCCATTTTGGGTCTTCGTTCCCTCGGAGCTCTTCTCCCTTCCCCGCCTCCCCTTCTCTCTCTCTCTCTTTCTCTCTCCCTCTCGCTCCCCTCCCCTCCGCTCGTCTGACTCACCGTGAACTCGACTTCGCCGTTCTCCGTCGCTCCTCGTCTTTTCCTCTCTCTCTCCGTCTTCTCCCCATCTCCTCTCTCTCGCCCTCTTTCTTCCCCTAGCGTCCTGCCGTCCCCCAGCCCCTCCGGCCCCCCGGCTGCCCCTCGGCGCCCCTTGCGCCTCGTTATTCCTCTCTATGGTTTCCGTCCGTCCGTCCGTCCCTTTCGCTCCGCTCTCCCTCTCCCCTCTTCTCGGCCCGTTTCGATCCGCTCTTCCCCCGTCCTCCCTGCCTCTCCTCGACCGCCCTCTCGCCTTTCTCCGCGTATCTCTCCTTTTCCCGTTCCCTCCGTCCCGTTTTTTCGTGCGCGCGGCCTCGCCGGGTCTCTGCCTCCTCTCTCGTCTCCTCTCTTCCCTCCTCTCTTCCCTCCTCTCTTCCCTCCTCTGCTCTCTGGAAACGCGTCAACCCGCGGTACCGCGAAAAACTCATCGAGGAACCCTCCCGTTCGTATTTCCGGACGTGCGAACACCGGAAAACCACTTTCGAAAAATCTCTCGTAGACTTTCACAAAAAATCTCGAGTAAATCGCCCCAAATATTTCGGCTTCTCTCTTAAGCGGACGCAAAATGCGTGAACGAGCTTTATTTTTTTTTTCTTCTCCGGCCACGCCGGATGTCGGACGCCGGAAACGGGCCGGCCTTTCTCCGTTTCCCTCCCGAGAGTCTTTCTCTCGGGGTCCTTCCAGATCTTGTCAGATCTTCGCCTTGAAGATAACATTTGCGCCAATGTTTATTATCTTATTCGTAATCAACGCATCAAAGTACATCGGTGTACGAAGATTCAAATTAATCGGAGGTATGCGCTTTTCGGAACTTTATCCATTCCTTCTTGCGCCGTCCTCGACGCGGCGTAAACGCGACCGTGTCGATTCGCGACTCGTCGTCCGTCCAATTCGTAAACACGCGTAACCCCTTCTCCGATAAAAATCTTGGACGCGGAACCGAGGAGGTGTTCCCTCGGAAATCAGGGAACTCGATTCCCTTCTGTGAGAATCGATTGCCTTCGATTTCATGATGAAAACAAAACAAAATAGTGCCATTGAATCAAAGAGATATCTTGATAATTCCGAGAAATAATTATTTCACTCGAATAAACTGGAATAAATTGGACGCAACGTTTATACGGAATTATAACAATTTATTTGAGGAAAATTATTATTTTTTGATTTAATGAAATATTTCTTCGGTTCAACGGCATTTTTTTTTTTTTGTGCAGGCAATGCGATTCGATATCAAGTGATGGTCGATCCTGTAATTAAACAACTCGGTAGAGTTTCCAAAAACATCTATAAGAGGCACGAAACGCTGATTCTGTCTCGATGATTTTTCTGCTTGCGATCTCGAGCATCAAATTCCATGATTTCCTTCTTTCCTATAACACTAGAACTACCAAGATCGATCAAAATGACCCATCCTGCAAAAAAAAAAGATCCACGAGTAGTCGGTGTTAAGGTGAAGTGAAACACGTCGAGGAACTTGATCGACGTCGATAAAGATTTTTCTAATTACCTACATTGCCAACATTTGTTTTTATATTGGCGGCTGGGTCGAATTATATTGGGTACTGAACTAAATGGCATACTCCACTTGGCATTTTCGTACAATAATTATAAAGAAATCGAACTAAAACTCCACAAAACCCTCTGGATTCATTATTTCTGAGGCCCTAATTGGCTGCGGAGGGACCCCCTGCGTCATCTGTGATTTCCAGGTCAATTAAATTTTCACTCCTAGACCTCGTATTTCCATCGTTTTGGCATAGAAGCGCATAAAACACTTTTTTTGCCTTTGTCCCGTCAAAATGCGAGTTTAACGATTACCAGAGTGTTCTAAATTGTCATAAAATTATCCTGACCCTTTCGTTTCCTATATTAGAGCCTTCGATAATTGTATATTGATCGAAATATGAGAGCTCGATGCCATTTTGGTTCTGGTCTGGGCTGTTAAGGAATTTTTTCCAAAAATCCAAATTTTGAATGTGTCGGGACAATTCTTAGATGATCACGAGTCATGTGTCAAAGCTTCGGACAGTTTGGTCCAATACCATTTAAAAAAAAGTGTTGTATTCGAATCGATGGATATGAAGGTTTCGCTTCATCTTAAAATTCATCGGAACGGTTGAAATTGTCGCTCGCAGTTTTCCATCCATCACGGGCGGCGCGCCGTCGGAGGGGTCGACGTTGAGGTTAGGAAAGAGGGAACCGAGAAACGCGAAGTTTCGGCCCGTGAAAAAGTGCGACTCGGCGTTCGCAAGGAGGACACGGCCCCCGTTAATCGAGCCGAGACTCGTCGGCCGTCCACCGCTTCGCCGTTTCCTTTTCCCTCGGCATCCTTCCTCTCGCTCGCCCCCTCCTGCCTCCTCCGCCGCCCCTCTCCTTCGCAACCCCGTTCCGGCGTTCCCTTTATCTCCGGAGTTTCTCATTGTCCGAAACGGCCATCTGTCCCCGCTCTTTCACCCCTTCGCTCCGCGGCACAAAGACGTCCTCGTGTTTCTTCACCCTTCGTCCTTTCCTCGCTCCCTTCAGCGAAGGGAGGGCGGCGCGCCCTCGGCGGACGCGTTTCGCCCGAATTGGAATTCTCCGGGTTTCCTAACCTCGAACTCCACCGAACTCCACGGACGACCCGGAAGGAGGTATTTCGCGTTTGTTTTCATTTCTAGGGGAAAATGGGAAGGGGTATTCGGAGCGCGGTAACGATATTACGACCTAGGAATTCGCTCGAGAAATCCTTGATTGTAAGGTGAAGTGAAACCCCCTTCAAATCAGTCGATTCGAATACAAATCCTTTTTTTTAAGGGTAAAAGACCAAACTGTCCGAAACTTTGACACATCACTCCTGATCATCTAAGAATTGTCCTGACACATTGAAAATTTGGATTTTTCAAAAAAATTTGTTAACTCAGCCCAGACAAGAACCAAAATGGCGTCGAGCTCTCATATTTCGATCAATATACAATTATCGAAGGCTCTAATATGAGAAACTAAAGGGTCAGGACAATTTTACGAGAATTTAGAACACTCTGGTAATCGATAAACTCGCATTTGAACGGGATAAAGGCAAAAAAAGTGTTGTATGCGCTTCTTTGCCAAAACGATGGTAATACGAGGTCTCGAAGTGAAAATTTAATTGACCTGGAAATCACAGATGGCGCAGGGTTGCTCTGCAGGTCAATTAGGGCCCCAGAAAGCACGAATCCAGAGGATTTCTGGAGTTTTACTTCGATTTCTTGATATATATTGTACGAAAACGACAGGTGGAGTATGCCATTTGGTACAATACCCAATATAATTCGACCCAGCTGTCAATATAAAAACGAACGTCGGCAGCGTAGGCATTTAGAAAAATCTTCTTTATCGACGTCGACCAAGTTCCTCGACGTGTTTCACTTCACCTTAAGGTGATTTGAAGGTGGCGTCAAAGAGATCCCATTCATGAAACTTTTCTCTGAACTGGGTGTATCGAATCATTTCGAAGTTTACAACGAATATGGAAGCTACAAGACAGGTCCCGACACCCATGGAATTTGAATTGTTCAGAAAATTTGTTTATAGGTATTTAAAAAATGTTTGTATTAAAAATCAAATTTCATAGATGTCAGGACTTTCTTCATAGCCTCCATATCCACGATGTAAAGCCTTAAACGATTCGGTACACTCAGTTCGGAGAAAAGTTTCATGAACGATTGAACTTTCGGATGCCTCACTTTTATATCCCCGTGATGCTCGAAATTACGAGGAAATCAGCTGGAAACTGTTGGAATTGCCCAAAACTATGCCACAATTTTAGGGCCTCTCCCTTGTTACCGAATCACATTGTTGTTTTTTTTCGGGTGAAATGAAAGGCAATCGGTCCTCAAAGTAGGAAATCGTTGTCACTGATTTCCGAGTGAATGGCATTATGACGTTGGATGGAAACTTCGGGACTTTGCTCTCGGCGAGGTGTCTTTTCTCTCCGTCTTCCCCGATTTCGGTCCACGAGGTCCCGAGAGAAAGGCGCGTCTTCGCGGCCGCCATTATGGAGGTGTTCGGAATAGACGGGGCAACCTTTCGCGGAGAGGGAGCGAGATCTATACCTCTAAGCAGGACTTAGGGAAGAGGAATGCGAGAGTCGAAGGTGGCACTTTGGAGTCCAGCGTGTGAAGAATTCGAGGAGAAGGTATATCGAGGTTGTTTCGACATCTTTGATGACCGATCGGCGTAGGGGAAGCGCGAGTCGAGAAATTCGATTTTCGAGGGTTTTCGAGGGTTATCAAGGGTACCTTCGGCGACGATCTCCCAGGGAGGATCGAAGGAGCCGAGGCGAAGGGAGCCCAAGGAGCGAGGAACGTCAATAGCGACGGAAAAACGTAAAAGGTGCGGGGGAAAGAAACGAGGGAGCGAGTCTGCCGGGACGAAGACGAGGGACGGGGCGAGGGAGAGAGGGCGAGGCGAGGGAGAGGCTCTCAGGGAGCGAGAGGGAACGGAACCCGGGAGAAAATAATGCTCGCGCCCGGGGAGAGGCGGAGAAGAAATAGATGGAGCCAAGAAAGCGAGGGAGGAAGGCACCGAGAGGGAGCCGGAAGAGGGAGAGGGAAGCCCTCGAAGGGACCGGACTCGGGTATTCCCCGAACGGAGAGAGGAAGGAAAAAACGACGGAAGGGAGACAAAATAGGGAAAAAACTACCTCCGGTGGCAGGACTTGAGATTTAAATCCTCGGATGAAGAGGACGAGGACTCGTCCCTCCGACCCATGGCTCAGATATTCGCGTTTCCTTTGGACCGAGGATCGATTCATCGGAGATCGATCCATCGGCCGAGGGATAGGAAGCGATTTCCCCTCGTCGATCTCCGCGGAAAAGGCGAAAGGGAGCCCAAGAAGCGAGGGACGTCGATAGCGCCTCGAAACGTAAAAAGCTCGGGGGAAAGAAGCGAGGGAGGGAGGAAGGACGAGGGGGCGCCGGAGATAAAGCGGGACGACGAGGGAGGGAAGAGCGAACGGGACCCGGGAGAAAATAATGTCGACGCCGGGAGCGGGACGGGGGGCAAGTGGAGGTAAGGAAGCGAGAGAGGAGATCGAGCGCGAGAGAAACGACCGACCGCCGAGTGGAAAAGCGCAATGGTGGAACGCTCGGGGGTGCCGAACTCGGATGCTGCGAGCACGGTCCAGAGGGGCGCGGGGATCGCGTCAAAGAGTCGAAGGAAAATTGAGACGAATCACGAGGACGGAGATAATCGAGGCCGAAACTACTCTAGGGTGGAAATCAGCAGGGGTGCGCGAAGGAAACGCGGTAACGTCGCACCCTTTCTCTCTTTCCCTCCGAAGATGCGCCTCGAGATGAAGTCCTTGTCGAAAAAAAATCTCGAAAAATCCGAAAAACTCGGCTCCCTTCTTCTCGACGACCACGAGAAAAGGCTTTTGGACGATACCATAGGTTGACCCTGAAATGAAATCGGAGCATTTTTGCCCGCCCTCTTTCCAGGTGCAAAAAGACGAGAGGAAGTCGCCGTCCCTTCGGAAATGGATCGGCACCTCTCGAGCCATCTCCTCGAGCTCCGTTCCTGGGAGTGGTTTCCTCCTCGTCGACGGGTTTCCTCTCCCCCGCGACAAGGGGAGGGCCCGAATATTCGATTTCCTGGGGATAAATTCCCCCGAGTCCGGGCACGCCTCATCCGGGGGTTTCTGCGATTCCAAGGACGACGGTGGAAAAATCGCGACGGAATTGCGTACGCGTGGGACGATCCTCGCAACGCTCGAGCCGAAGGATCGATTTGCGTTTAGGGCGGGCTCGGCACGGAAAAGGGTCGTCCCCCTTGGTCGTTTCCGCTCCTCGGCGATCGATCGCCCCGCGCAAGACGAGGGAGAACGCTTCCTCGAGCTCGCTTTCGCTGCGGACGATTTTATCGAAAAATTCAAGGACTCGAAAGAAACGCGTAGAGATACGGGACGGCAGCTGTACCTTGGCGAGCACGAATGGCTTCCCTGCGGACCCGCTGCGGCAGCAGGACCACAGGGAAGCCATTCGTGCTCGTCCCTGTACCTCGACCTCGACGCGGCGTCGAAGGTGGCGGACGTAATCTAATCGCGGCGTCCTTTTTTTTTTTCCTATACTCTTTTTTCCCTTTTTCCGCGACTCGTGCGGATGGACAGGACTCGACGAAGCGTGGAAACGGGAGCGCAGGAAGCGGAACGCCAGGAGAAGCTCGACCTGGCGCGTTATCACGTGCGCTATCGGCGATTCGGACCTCGAGCGAACGACCCAATTTCGAGATAGCGCGCGACGAATCGAGAGTCAAGAAAGCGTGGACGGGAGAGACGGTCCCGCGTTCTCGTCGGCAGAGGAGAGATCTCGACATAGGAGACAGAGAGAGAGAGAGAGAGAGGCTCGAGGGAAACGCGCGGAAAAAGGGAGAGATGGCTTCGATTCATCGATTTAATCGAACCACGGATCGATCCTTCAACGCCGCGAAGAGGAGAGACTCGGAGAGAGAGAAAGAGCCGGCCTAGAGTTCTCGTTATCGGCGCGCGTCTAAGCAGCTGATAAAAGTCCGTGTGCCTACGGGACAGATAACGCGAACCGCTGGTATAAAGAGTCACATAGATAGACTGATAAAGCACGGTTCACGGAACGGGCGAATCTCGAGCGGACCAACGCCCGAACTCGCGGCCGAAGGTGTTGCGCGGCAGAATCCGCGACGTCTTCCGGGTCGAGGAAGGGTCTCTTCGGGGTCTCCGGTCCTTCCAAGGAAGTCGGGACGCATCCAGGACGCGATAAGTGCTCCCTTCGACGATTTCACCTCGCCGTTCCTCGTGGTTTGTCGGCCATTTCTCTTATCCCGTTCTTTCCTGGATCCCTGGTCGAGTCCTCTCCTTCTCCTCCTACCTCTGCAAAACAGTGCATGGAGTCGAACCGTTACTGGGGTGTCCATTACAGGTACGATCGCGAACGGCACCTCGGCGAGGAGAGGCCGCGATTTTGCTCCTATCTTCGACGTCGAGTATCGAACCGAATCGACGCGAGTCGAATATTGGACTCGATGGCGATTCCGGATCCCTGGGACCCGATTCTCGAGTTCGGCCCATCAACTTTCGCAGGCGAAATTGACAATTTAGTAGACGATTTGCAAACGTTAACCAATGACGCGACTTCGCAACAATACGACATTTTTAATGTGAATCTATTCGTATCCGAAAAAAAAAAATCATATGAACTTTCGCAGGTGAAATGGACAATTTAGTAGACGATTTTCAAACGTTGACCAATGACGCGACTTCGCAACAATGCGACATTTTGAATGTGAATCTATTCGTATCCGAAAAAAAAAATTCATATGATCTTTCGCAGACGAAATTGACAATTTAGTAGTCGATTTGCAAACGTTAACCAATGACGCGACTTCGCAACAATACGACATTTTTAATGTGAATCTATTCGTATCCGAAAAAAAAAAATTCATATGAACTTTCGCAGGCGAAATTGACAATTTAGTAGACGATTTTCAAACGTTAACCAATGACGCGACTTCGCAACAATGCGACATGTTTTTATGCGAATGTATTCGTATGCGCAAAAATCGATATTTTTAATGCGAATCTATTCGTATTGGAAAAAAATCCGTATGAACTTTCGCAGGCGAAATTGGCAATTTAGTAGACGATTTTCAAACGTTAACCAATGACGCGACTTCGCAACAATGCGACATGTTTTTATGCGAATGTATTCGTATGCGCAAAAATCCGCGTGAACTTGAAAGTAGGATCCCTGATGCGTTGATTTGTGGAAAGTAATTGGAGCGATTGAGTAATTCTTATTTATTTTCCAGCGGAGGCATGGCCGGGCAGCATTACTGCCTGCGATGGAACAACTACCAGTCGAACATGACGTCCGTGTTCCATCAGCTCCTGCAGACGGAGGCCTTCGTGGACGTCACCCTCGCCTGCAACGAGGCCTCTCTCAAGGCGCACAAGGTAGGCCGCTTAACGGTGAACCTCTAGAACGGGAGGAGAAAGAGAAAGAGAGAAAGCGGAATCGATTCGTACCGTTGTTGCACCCGTTTCCCGGAGGTTTCCCGTCCTTTCCTCTGAGAAGTCAGGTCGAACATTGACGAATCTTTGCTCTTCCAGGTGGTGTTGTCGGCGTGCAGTTCCTACTTCCAGAAGCTTCTGCTCTCGAACCCCTGCAAGCACCCGACCATCATAATGCCTCAAGACGTGTGCTTCAACGATCTGAAGTTCATCATCGAGTTCGTCTACCGAGGTGAAATCGACGTCTCCCAGGCGGAGCTGCAGGTAATCAAAGGACTCCCCCGAAATGTCCGATTTCCCCCTGGCACCGTATCCTGCGTCGTATCCGTCGACCCGGGGACCTAAGGCAGCTCTTTCGGCGTTTACCGACCGCGCGAGCGAGCTTCTTTACCTACAAATGGAACAAACGCATCTCCGTGCGCGAGTCGGAGAAATTGAAACGCCCGTAACCTTCTCAACTTGAAATCGGGACGACCGAGCACCTCTTCATCGGCGAATCTCTCGTTTCATCGAGGATTTTCCTCGCTTACTTCGATTTCGAGAACCATCCGTCGGACATACGTGGGATTATCGACGGAGCGGGTATTCCTGAACTGCTTTACCGAGCGGAGGGCGTCGGTAAAACAGGGAGAGCTTTCGAACGTCGGCAAAGTGCACGGAGTGTACCATTCGAGGAGCCCTCGAATCGATGCACCGAGTGCAGTGGACGCGTACCCGATATCGGTCATAAAAAGCATTTTCCTCCACTCTCGCCGCAAGGACGAGAAATTCGAGCGTTCTTTGTCGGTCGCCGTAAAGCGGTTCCATTATCGAGATACCCTCGGAAGTCGATTTCTTTGTACGCCACTTCTCATTTCCGGCCGCGCGATTGCAAACTCGGGCGAGCTTTTTGAAGAGGAAGGAAAAATTGCTGTCACCGTGACATCCACTCCTCGTCCGCCCTCTTTGCCATCGTAAAATCAATAGGAGCAGTCTTCGACCCCTCTCTCGTTAGAGCGTATTGTTCGGCAATCAGGCTACTTGCCGTACTCGCCGAGCGGTTCTCATCCTACCTCTGGACCGACCGGCCGCGAAACGTTTCCGAAAAGCGTTCTATCCTGATCGAAAGTGTTCTTTTTTGCCTCGTGGAGATCTCATCTCCCGGAAGAAAATGAAGCCCAGAGTCGGTTCGGCTTTAAAAATGGATTTACGACGATTTCGCTAACGAGCGTCCGCCATGGCGAGCTTTAGAGGGTCGGAGGACTCTCGTTGAGAACCCGTTCTCGGTGTCCTTCGATTTTGGAGCGGCAATCGAAGACACTCGCGCCCTTCCAGCCCGCCCACCGATGGGACGTCGTTTTTTAGGAGCCGAATTTCTGAGCTCTCGATTCCTCGACGCCGACCGACCGCTCGACGGAGAGAGAGCTTTTCGCGCTAACTCTCGCGCGCTTTCCTAGAATCATTCGCCGAGTCGTATCCCTCGGGTTTCCTCGGCCGTTCTTAACGGACGGTGAGAGTCGACGCAGCCTCTCGGCCTTGAACCCGGAGCGGCGGACGCGCGTCCCGACGCGCGGCGGCGTCGAGATTTTCGCGGCGCAGAGTTTCGCGGAATCCCGACTACACGGTACGGCGCGGTTTCCGGAAAAAATGGCACCACCAGGGTGACACGGTCCGAGCGGTCGTCCCTCGGTGTCCTTGACACGGCTCCGAGCAACGACCACCTCGACGCGCGTGCACGAATGCACGGATGCCCGCGTGCACGCACGCCGAGAGCCGAGCCGCGCGCGGCAACGCCCGCGCTCGCTCTCTCGGCCAGCGAGCCGGGAGTTTTGCTTTACGCTTTGCCTCGCGACGTCCGGCCGAGAGAGACCGAGAGGGACCGAGAGGGAATTGGAGGGAGAGAGAAAGGGACCCGTTTCCAACGGCGCCTCCTCTTTTTGCCGCCAAGCGAAATAAGGTCGGGAAGAGCCTCGAGTCCGGGATCCCGGGACAGGAAGGAAGCAAGGAGAGCGGACCTCACCGGTGACCCGGTTCCCCGAGGAAGGCCAAATCCTCTCCGGAGAGCCCTGCCTCGGAAGGGCCGCGGCGCTCGGGCGGTCTCGGGCCTCTGACCCAGTTTTCCGAAAACGCCCGAAGCGAGGGAAACCCGCAAGGGAGCGTCCCGAAGGTCGGGATCGCGGCCGGTCTGCCGTACCGGCGGGGCGCCGATCGATCGGAGGGCGCGCGTCCGCCGAGGACGGCCGAAGTTTCCCGAGCGACTGTACGCGCTTTCGTGTGCGCGAGGTGTGCGCGCGGTGTGCGCGCGCCCGCGGGCGGGAGAGGGGGAGGGCCGCGCGGCGGCCAACCCGGAGTCGCGGGTTCCCTTTGTCCGTCGGCCGGCGCGAAATTCGAACCTCTCGCTCTCGCCACTCGCGGTCGGCTCGCTTCCTCTCGGTTGCTCGGCCACCCGTTCCCGTTACGGCGCGGCGTCTCGCGTCCCTCCCGCGCGCCGCCGCCGCCGCCGCCGCCGCCGGCGGGTCCACGCGTGCTCTCTCTCTCTCTCTCTCTCGCTCTCGAAGCGCGCCCGGCCGGACCGCCGACCGGCGAGGGGCCGGTTCCTCCCGTTTCCGCGAGCTCCCGGGACCGAGCGACGAGCCGGAGGGTCCCACGAGTCGTGGGTACCCTCTCCGAGGTCCGTTGAGATGCAGCAAGATCCGGCGAGGTCCAACGAGGTCTGGCGAGGAAACGTCTCGAGACCTCGATCGGCCTCCGAGCGATCGTGCATCCGGCCATTCTCGCGGCGAATCACGGACGGGAGGAGGGAGGGGACGTCGGAGCGAGGGAGAGGACTTCGACCTTAGCCTCGGCGTCCTTTTCGGAGATTATCCCGCCCCGGCCCCGCCGCCGGGAGATCGATGCCTCTCCGTCGGCCGCGTGCCTCGACTCGGCGTCCCTCTCCCTCTCGGCAGTCGACGCACGCACGCGGCCCTCCCCCTCCTCCTCCCTCTCCCACGTCGCGCCCGTCCTCCTCGTCATCGGCGACGCCGGCGACGCGTCGACGGAGTCGCGGCCCGGCCTCCTCGAGGCTCTCGAGGCTCTCGCTCGGGCCGGCGTCGCGGCGCGTCGCCGTCGCCGCCGCCACCGCGCCCTCTCCTCTCCTCTCCGCGCCGCGGCCAGCTTGCCGGCGCACTCCGTCTCTGTCGGTCGGCGAGCGCGCATCCCCCGCGAGTCTCTCCCGGAGCCCATCCTTGTCCGTCGCGTCGGCGAATTTCGCCGCGTCCTCCTCTCGCTCTCCTCTTCCTCCCGCTCTTCCTCCTCCTCCTCTGCCGCGCCGCCGCCGCCGCCGCCGCCGCCGCCGCCGCCGCGGTCTCTCCACCTCCTCCGGCCTCCCCCGCCCGCGCGCTTCGCCGCCGCCGCCGCCGCCGCCGCCGCCGCCGCCGCTCGACGTCCTCCGATGCGCGCCCTCCGCGAACGCCGAATGCCATTTCACTTTCGTTGGGCTTCGCCGCGGAGGAGAGCGGGCCCTTGCCACGGGAATTATCCTCCCGTTCGCCGTGTCCCCCGTTCTCCGGGCCGCTCTCGGCGCGTCTCGGCCGACCTCCTCTGCTTCGCCTCGCGCCCGCCCTGCCAGGTGAGTGGAAAAGCCGTCCTCCGAAGCGCCGCGGAATCCGCCACGAGGCGTCGTCCCTGACCTCGCGCACGCTCCCGAGGAGCGGAGGGAATCGTTACCCTCTCGCGTCCTCGACCTCCCCGGCGCCGCCGTCTCTCGCCGATCGCCGACCCCGGACCTCGCCCGCGCGCCTCTTTCCCGCCCCGGTGGAGGCCCTCGACAACGGTCGCGGGCCTCCTTCCCGCCCCCGTGGGGGCTCTCGACAACGGTCACGCGCCGGTCGCCTCCTTCCCGGCCCCGGGACTCTCCTTATCCGGCCGCGTACGCGAGCGAGCACGTGGTCGCGCGCTCCCATTCAGAAAGGAGGTTGTGCAGCGGAGAGGAGAGGTTATGCTCGCGACGCCCGTTACATTATCAATTCCGTTATGGCGCTCTATTCGTAATAGTAGACGCGACCCTACGGCGCCGTCGAGCTCGCCGTCTTCGGGGATCCCCTCTCCCTCCCTCTCTCTCTGACTCGCGCCCGCCGCGCCGGCTCTCCTCGTCGCGCTTCGCGACGCTCCCCCCCGCGGACCATTGCCCGCCCTCCCCCCGACCGTGCGACCCTCTCGGCGTCTAACGTTTCTCCTCGTCCGATCTCTCTTCCCTGGTTTACACCTGTTGGATTTCTTCGATCCGCCGGCTCCCCTTCCCGGCGCCGTTCCGCGTTCCGTCGAACTTTTCCCCGAGCCTTCCGGAGTCGTCGGGAGCGGGAGAGGGGGTGCTCCTGGCATCGAGATATGGCCCTCTCGGGGGAAGCCTAGGTCGAGGTTCGACCCTCGGTCTCCCGTCAATCGGTCGGACGATGCCCTTGAACCCTGAGTATCGATTGGCGAGGTTCGGATTCCACCGTGGGCACCCTCGTGCACCTCCTCCCCCCTCCTCCCCCCTCCGCCGCCCCGCGCCTTCGCGCGGACCGCGAGACGCGGAGAGTACCCGGGGCGGTTTCGCGCCTGCCGCCTCGCTCGGTCGGTCGGCCGACTCGCGTCCGAAAAAAGCGAGCGTCGGGAGGAGATTCGGCGGGGTCGGCGTCCGGGTGAGAGTGGGCAGCTCGGGGGGGGGGGGGTGGGAGGGAGAGCGGGGAGGCGCAGCCGAGCGTAGGCCGCTCGGCGTCGCGGCGCGGCCGGCGCGGCCGGCTCGGCGTCGGGGTTGGGGGTGGTCGATACGGCCCTGGGGCCGGAGGCCTCCGCCGTTCTTCCCGCGGGCGTTTTTGCCTCCCTCCCCCCTGGCGGCGCTCCGACCCCGCCTAATCGCGCCACCCCCGGGTTGATTAAAGAACGGAGCGCCGGTCGCCGCCTCCCCCACCGTCGCCGGTCCGGCCGCGGGGACGGAAGCGGAAGAGCCGGCCGCGGGGCCGGAAAAATCCGCGGGTCGCCGGCGGTCTCTCCGCGGGAGGAGAGGGAGCCGCCGCGGATAATCGATTCGCGACCGCTCGCCTCGCCGGCACGGATGCAAATGCGCCGAGGAACGTCGGCGCTCGGCTCGCCCTCAACTCGCCGGCGGTTGGTTTCAGTCCCTCCTGAAGACGGCCGACCAGCTCAAGATCAAGGGCCTCTGCGAGGTGCCCGAGAGCAAGGAGGGCCCGCCCTCGGTCAGCCTCGGCTCGCCCTCCAGGGATCCCGGCACGCCCCGGCTCAACTACACCAAGCTGAAGAGGCACCACTCCAGGTCGAAGAGGGCCCGCTTCGAGGCGAGACCGGACCCCGGCCCGGAGGGTAGGAGGTACAAGGAGGAAGACGGGGACCCCCTCGAGGAGCGGTACTCGCGCGACGACAAGGAGGTGAGTCGACTCCTCGAGCCTGGATAGGGTGGAAGGTCCTAACGGGTCGCTTTTCCAGAACATCCGGGACTGGCAGACGGAAGATGAGGACTGCCCGGAGACCGCAGTAGTCCTGGAGTCCTGCCAGCGAGACGGTGACAACGGCACCGGAGCGAACGACGACAACGGTAAGCTGTCGCGCGCGACTACGCCCCACACCTGATCGGGTCGTCGCCCCGAGACGCCCGGCGTCGTCTCGAGACGCCGCCACGTGGAGGCGCCGCCGGGCCGAGCACGTGGTCAGCCCAGGTGTGGGGCGTCTTACCGTCCCGGGAGGAATAGGACAGATCGTTTTCACTCGTAGTAAAGGCGAAATGTTCTGTCACACAGGACTGGGGCACTACGGTCATCACCCGGACCCGGCGGAGGTCGACCTGCCGCCCGAGACCCAGCCCACTCCGCCCAGCGCCACCCTCGTCGGCACCACCGTCACCCACCTGAGGGACTCCGACCACCACTCCGCCGGTACGACCCGGTCCTCGGGAAGAAAGTCGGACGGGAAGAGAACAGCGGCCGGCCGCTCGTTACTCGGGGAGAGAATCAAACTAATTGGACTAATCGCGCTTAACCGGTCGTGATTAGATTTGCTCCGCACTACCGGCCCACGCAGCCTCGTTCGCCCGGGTGGTGGTAGGAGGCCTCGTCGTTTAACGGGGATTTCGTCGCCACCGCACCGGGGAATCGCGGATCGCGAACTCGTCCTCGTTCGCGGCGCGAGTGTGCACCCCTCCGAAGTCGGCTGACGCCTCCTCGTCGCATTTCAGACATCCAGACTTGCGACAGCGTGAAGATCAAGTTCGAGACGCTGCACACGATGGACTCCTCCGACACGATCGACATCGACAGCCACATGTCGGATCGGGCGAGCGTCAGCTCGAAGAACGCCGCGGACAACGACAACATGATGATGATCACCCCCGAGCTCCTCGGCCTGATGCCGTCCGGAAGCTCCGTGCACTCCGACTCGGGGGACAACCTCAGGAGCCACTCGGGCCAGTCCGGGTCGCACCACCACGGCTCCAAGTCCTGGACCCAGGAGGACATGGACGCCGCCCTGGAAGCCCTCAGGAACCACGACATGAGTCTGACCAAGGCGTCGGGTAGGTGGTCGTTGACTTTTTCCCCCGGCAACTCTAGGAAATCTCGAATGACACCGGTGATTCCCTTTGCAGCGACCTTCGGCATCCCTTCCACCACCCTGTGGCAGAGGGCGCATAGATTGGGCATCGACACCCCGAAGAAGGACGGCCCGACCAAGTCCTGGAGCGACGAGAGCCTGAATAACGCCCTGGAGGCCCTACGGACGGGCACGATATCCGCGAACAAGGCGTCCAAGGCGTTCGGGATCCCCTCCAGCACGTTGTACAAAATCGCGAGGAGGGAAGGGATCAGGTTAGCCGCCCCCTTCAACGCGAGTCCCACGACCTGGTCTCCGGCCGACCTCGACAGGGCCTTGGAGGCCATCCGTTCGGGCCAGACCTCGGTCCAGAGGGCGTCCACCGAATTCGGCATCCCCACCGGCACCCTCTACGGCAGGTGCAAGAGGGAAGGCATCGAGCTCAGTAGAAGCAATCCGACGCCCTGGAGCGAGGACGCCATGACGGAGGCCCTCGAGGCCGTCAGGTAGGCTCCTTTCTTTGCTCCGACCTTGATGCACCACCGAAACCTTGATTTTCTGCCTCGACTCACGTGCCTTTGCGTCGTTCCGTTCCAGGCTGGGCCATATGAGCATCAATCAGGCCGCCATTCACTACAACCTACCATATTCCTCGCTCTATGGGAGATTCAAGAGAGGGAAGTACGAGGAGCCCGTCGTCAGCGAGATGTCCCAGGACGGAACCAATCCTCACTTCCATCAGAGTCCTAATCAAAACCACTCGTCCTCCCTCCCCGACCAAATGCCTTACCAGGGCAGCTGAAACTTACCCCTTTATTAGGCCAGTAGTTTAACTTACTGACTCCGGTTTCGTCGCGGAGCGCAAAAATCCATGCCGAAGGAGACGACGAAGGGGACGCGAGAGAAACGGGAGCGAGGGTGGTTGAGGGTGACGGATTGAATGGCGGGACCGGGGACGACTCGAAGGTACAACTCGTAGCTGGAGAAATGACGATCCTGCCTGCAGTATTAAGAATAAATAGCCGTCGACGAATATCATGTACATTCTGCAATTTTCACGTCGAACGTCAGGGACGGGGGGGGCTAGGATAATTCTATTTATAAGAGTAATTTATGGAGAACGCTGTGCAGACGGAAAACCGCCCAACAAATTTTTATAGCCGATACGGGGACACTCAGGAGACGTCAGAATTTTGTATGCCTTGGCTGATATTACGGGAGACCAGGGACGTTACGCTTTTAATCGAGTTTCCTTTCATTCGGAAATGGCGATACTCTGGGTGGGATTGCCGAACAAGTAATTCTAACGATTCTTGAGTGTACAATAACAGACTAACGAATAAACTCGAGCGATTTTTATTTTCATCACGGAATTCAATGAATACGTAAGATCGAATTTACGAGTGCCGAGAATGGACCACGTGTCGAGAGCGTAAACGGGGTAGATCAATTCGACGCGGAATATGTAAATCGCGAATCTGGATCAAAGGCTATTCTGTTTTTTTTTTTTTTCATTTTTAATTTCAACCAATCTCGAACAAATAAGCGACACGTGCATCCAGTTCGTTCTCGCACGAGGAGTATCCTTTCCAAGACGAGGAGTAAACTATTGTGAACAGAGTCCCAGGTAAACGACGCACAGTCTGCATCGTTATATTTTGTAGAATGGACTGAATAGGGTACGATAATGTAAAACAATTGATTTCACGGTGTAGATAAAAAACGTGGCCATCGAACGCCTCGGCGCGTCGGGAGACGCTTTTCTATATATTTTTTTTGTTTCTCTTCCGTTTTCTCAAAGGGAATTACAAACTTCCCCATGGCTCAACTGCCGCGCGTATAAATACGTACGATTAATTTATCACCTTCACAGCTATTATATTATTATAAATAAAATCTATATATTATATACATACTACTTATAAATACATGTACAGTTTATATATTTTAAATTAAAAATTAATGCAATCGTAGGAGCGCCATCTTGTTCGACCTCCCTTGCCTTATCAACGGTATAAAAGGCTGTGCTTGACGATTTAAGCGAGCGCAGACGTTGAACTTCATGTACGCAAGGTCCGTAAAGGCAATATTGAGAACCGCTGTCGGTTCCTGCGGTTCTCGGACTCGAACCGTATCAGACTTATCAGACGAGGCTCGACGTCGGTCCTCGATACACAGGATGGCTCAGCTCGATCAAAACTGTATTTTCTGCAAAATACTAAGTGGACAGGAACCTGGTGAGAAAGTTTACGAGGTAAAACATTTCTTTCTTAATTTAACCTTGCACATCCTATTAATTCGTTGCCTTCTATATGAGAACTGCATATCAATCCGCGCACAGTGACAGCTGATATCGCAGACCTGTCAGGCAGGTAAAAAAGCATTTTTTGAAAATGCTCATTTCTCAGATGTCTGTAATCAGTCTTTCCGGAAATTATCAGAATACAAGTGGTTTGAAAAGTGTAGTTAATTGTGAAATAAAAAAGATTCGAGAGCTATCGACCTTTGCACGCTTCGGCGGCCATCTTTGCTCGAGCTCAGGGACGAGCGAAGCGCGGGCGCAGTTGGCCCTTAAAAAAATATTTTTCCACACGTTTTAAAGGTTCTTTACGTATGGAATCACTGATTTTATTTTCTTCCAGGATGACCATGTGGCGTGTATTAAGGATATCCATCCAGCGTCCACTCATCATTACTTGATAATACCCAAAACGCACATTCCCAACGCGAAGGTGTTGACGCAGAAGGATGAAGAAATATGTACGTGGAAAATATGATATTTATTATCGGCAGAGGCAGTGATGGGCACGTTTGAATATTTTATTGTAGTTGACAAGCTTGTTGCGACTGTGGACGTGGTGGCAGAGCTCCAAGGGTTCGACTTATCGTCCGTAAGGACGGGGTTTCATTGGCCGCCATTTAATACCATAAATCATTTGCATCTCCACGTAATCGCGCCACTGGAAAATATGGACTTCCTAAGGAGGATAATGTTCAAGCCCAATTCTTGGTGGTTCGTCGGTGTACGTAGTTTTGTTTTAAAAAGGAGTTGTCGAACGACAACATCGGTTTCAGACTTTAATCCTTTATTTTATTTCAGACGGACTATGTGAAGTCGCACATCCAGTCGAGTCTTTAAGGAAGTTTTACGCTTATTGTCAGGTTCAATCCCCATATCACGGTAGTTCAATTTGTATAGTACTCATAGCAATATGTTTTAAATGATGTTTAAGCATACACTGTATTAATAAGACTCGTATTAATCTAGAATGACTTTCTTAAAATGAAGAAGCGTCTTGAATTCTTTGCGTTTTGTTCATTGAATTTTCTACTATGCCCTCTTTGAACATACGCTGCCATTCTTTCCCGTGAGGATACTTAAAGTCTTGCAGCGCGCTCTGTTTGATTTTAGTGGAATATCCAGGCACAGTTGGTGGCATGTAAGAAGCAGTTTGGATCTCAACTGGGCTTTCGAAATGCTCGTGCTGCTGGTCCACGAATTCTATCACCCGTGCGTCCATTGTGCCGCTTAAGGACACGAAATCCCACATCTGAAGATGCTGCACCATCTCGCATAGTCCTACACCTCCGGCATGAGGACAGACAGGAACTGAAATATAACAGAACAAGCTGTAAAGAAATCCAAAGGAACATCAACGTCATCTGTTGGCGACCGAGAACTTACCTTTAAACTTTTCAGCCATGAGGTACACGGAAAGTATCTCGTTCACGCCTCCTATCCGGGCAGAATCGATTTGACAGTAGTCAATCGCCCTGGACTGAAGTAATTGTTTAAACATGACTCGATTGGCGCACATCTCGCCGGTAGCTACTCCAATTCCAAAAGGACGAAGTTCTCGGGCTATTTCGGCATGCCCTAAGATGTCATCCGGTGATGTTGGCTCTTCGATCCAAGTGGGCTTGAATTTCGCCAGCTTTTTCACCCAAGTGACCGCCTCGGGAACGTCCCATACTTGATTCGCATCCAACATAAGCTTACACTCATAGCCGATGCATTCTCGGATCAGTCGGCACCTCCTCGTGTCGTCTTCCAAATTTTGGCCAACTTTTGCCTTGAACGAGGTGAAGCCGAGATTCAAGAATTTCTTGCAAAGTTCTTTAACTCTTTCGTCGCTGTAGCCCAACCATCCCACTTGGGTGGTATAAGCGGGATATCCGCTTTTTCGCAGAACCTCCTCTCGCAAAGCCTTGCCATTGGCTTTTTCCTTCAAGAGAGAAATAGCCTCTTCTTTCGTCAGGACATCGGTGCTGTATGGAAACGATTGGAAATTAATTCGGTATTTAGAGAACGTAGATGTACGAAGTAATGGTCCTACATGTATCGGAAGTCTATGGTCGAAACTAGCTCTTCTGGAGTAAGATCGGTCAACAGCTTCCAAACGGGTTTATTTTCAATGCGAGCCCAGAGATCCCATAAAGCGTTAACAATGGCTGCAGTAGCGAGGTGCATCACCCCTTTCTCCGGTCCGAGCTAAAATACATATTGTAACAAGGTGATATGAAGTATTCCACTCGATAACATTACCTGTACAGTTTACAGCGTTTACTTACCCACCTTAACTGCGACTCGCTGGTTAAATTTCTCCAGAAAGTCGCGAAATTCTTAAAAATCCACCCGGCGTTGCAACCCTTCACGAGTCGGAGCATCGATTCGCATGCTTGCACCACTAAAAATTGCATTACGAGTCATTAACGAAACTTCATGCACCGTGAAGTTATTTTTCATTCCGCCATGGTGTACTTACCGATCTCGGTACCTCTGCCCAAGGTAAACGTCAACCCGTACCCTTCTAACCCTTTGTCCGTTTTCAACGTGACATAGGCACACGAGTAATCGGGATCCGTATGCTGAATCCAAAAACCGATTTCAATGCATAAGCAAGATTTTAATTAAATCTAAGCACGTACCATAGCATCGCTACCGTCTGCATGCAGGGACGTTGGAAACCTAACATCTTCCACGGTAGCATCCACTATATTAATTTCGATCATTCTCGCACTTTTGAGAGAAAATCAAGAAGAACGTCCCGAGAAGCTCGACGCTGATTAACTGAAAATATACACGCATGCTTTGCATTCCTTATCGCAAGTGACGAGTATCCAAGCTCATCGAAACTTGGGAAAATACCCGGATCGTGAATCCACCGAACTCCAGTTGCATGTTACGCGCGATTAGATAAGAAAACGTAAAACCTTGGGAAAGGAAATAAGCGATGACTTATCTAACCTGTACCGTGCACTACAGTGCGACGGATCTCGCGCTAACTTAAACGGTAACTCACGCGAGTATTTTTGATGTGATAAAGTAGCGTTGATTTGCGTTTGCGGAGCAGCGAACCGTGTGAGAATGTAATTGTTTTACGACCCGAGCGAAAGTGTTCACGTTTGAACTGATGCTTAGTCGCGTCGGTGCCGGAGAAAATGCCTTTTTCGGAGGATGAACAGATTCTGTCTTTCCGATGAAGATCTCGGAGTATCGAGACCTCGGAGAAAGTTTTGAAAGGGTGGAGTTTTGTGAGGATCTCCGAGGATAGGTCGAGAGAAAAAAATGGGCTGCATTTTGCAATGCAGTCGATTGGTTGCAAAGAAGCGTAGGAAGGGAAGTCATTGCAGTCAAGGAGGTGTAGGTGGGGACTGCAAGATGGACTCCTAGAGAAGTACTTCCGAGAAGGAACTTGGAAAGGACTTAAGAAATATGGTGACAAATTGCCACTCATTGATACATGCCGAAATTAAGAAAGCTAGGCTTAAGCGCTAAAGAAATAAATTATCCTTCTCGAAAAATTTGGAAAAGTCTGCGACTTGACTGCTTCCGTATGAGTCGAGAGTGACAGATGGACGCCCTTAAAGAGGAGACCTCTAAAACATCGAAAAAAGGGAGACGAGCGCCTTGACCATGGGGTTCTATGGCGGTCCTCTACCTTCGGCGGAGAAGGTATGACGGCGCGAAGAGTCGCGCGGTTCGAGCGCAGGTACGCTCGCACCGTTAGCGCTGTAGAAATTATTTGTTAGTTGTGCCCATAATTATGAAAGTGGTCTAAGTCAAAATTAAAAAAAAAAAATGAGTTTATCAGTTATTTCACGCCATATTATTTCAAACGAAATTAATTCAATGTAATTTCGAAACAAAAAATATATGACTTACAAGGAAACATTCCCAAGTGTCCGCCTCCGATCTTATTGAGTTTCATATATGTTGAAGAACACAAAAATCTAAGAGACACGTGTTTTTTTTTATCTGCAATGGTCCACATTTAAGGGGTGAAACAACCCCCCAAAGTTTAGGGAAAAATCGGTTTTTAAAATATTTTTCGTAGAAGCAGTGGAGGGATTTCGACGAAACTTTGTATAAACGTATTCTGTATAAG